TTGCCTCACTTTTCGCCGAACTGCATTGTGGGCAGCAAAGCGGAGATGTTCAGGATTTTCAGGATTCAAAGTTGAGCAATGTTCAACTTTTGAAGCTGAGGTGGAAGCGTCAGCCAATCAAATCCCGTGTATGCAAATCTGACAGTTCAAGCGCTAGCCATGCTGGGAGAGACATACCGCAGGTCATTTCCTCATATTCCAAAAAATGAAGGAGAAATTAGCGGTAGGGAATCACCCGGTGCTTTATGACCAGTCCCTATTTACCTACCGGGATACAAACCGGAGGAGCCAGGCATGGACGTGACGTGACGTGATTCAAGATGGCGCCTGTGTCGGCTCGCCGCTCGCTTAGCTCTCTACCTTTAGCTGTCCTGTTTTTGTTTTATGTTTGTCAGAATGTCTCTGCTCTGCTCGTTTATGATCGCCAAGCTCTCCTCCACCTCAGACCCTCACTGGAGTTGATATTGCTGCCCAAACCTACATCTGGCAACCATAAATCGTCCCCCCCCCTCTACTGTCGGATATCCCCACTTACCTACGCCGGTCACACTGCATCCTGCCTCGCCGAAAGCGCTTTCGACGACGGGGAAAGCGTGGTGGTGCACTGGTCCATCTTAAGGCATACCTGACGGCTTCTTCTGTGAATTATCCACGCCTCGGATGTCATGGCCCTCCCGCTGCACGCCAAGTGAGGGATCGGTGGATTCGCCCCGTTTTTCCGGAGCTCCGGACTCTGAGGGGCCCGCTGGCAGCTCCTCCTGCCCGACTGACTGCTCCCGGCCCGCGCGGCGTGCAACACGCACATCTTCGTCAGCTGAGACGCACTACACCTTCGGCAAGCCCGGAGCGAAAACTTTGCATGGCTTTGCTAAATGCTAGGTCGATAGCAAACAAAACGTTCCTGCTAAACGACTTCTTCACCTCTCGTGAACTGGATTTTATGTTCCTGACGGAGACCTGGGCCCACGCTGGCGAGTATACACCGTTCTCTGAACTTCTTCCTCCTGACTGTACATTCTTCAGCTCCCCCCGTGGCACTGCCATGGTGGGGGCATAGCATCAGTGTTTAGAGCTAACCTCCAATGCCGATTGCTTCACCCTGTAACTAGCTATGCTAGCTTTGAGTTGCAGCTTTGTGAACTGAACCCGGCCTCGCCTATACTCTGCGCAGTCGTGTATCGTCCGCCAAAGTGTAATAAGGATTTCATAAATGACTTGTCTGACTTTCTGTCCGGGATCATGGTGAAATATGATCGTGTTTTGATCTCCGGAGACTTCAATGTCCATGTGTGTTGCGAGTCCAAACCTCTGGTTAGGGACTTTTTAAATCTCCTTGATTCCTTTGGTCTCGTTCAGTCCGTGGCTGGCCCAACACACGAAAAAGGACACACTTTGGACTTAGTATTATCGTTTGGACTGTCTGTATCTGTGGATGAAATATGTGCAGCAACCAAGCGGCAAACTCAGGGGAAGAGCCGGGACGCCAATACGGAAGTGCCACAAACTGCAGTTCATATATTGGCTGATAGGCGATGACTGCAGAAAGGAGCAATTTCCATAGACCCCAATGTTAAAATGCCCAATTTCACAGCAGAAAAAAAACGTTTCTAGCCCTGGCTCCAATACATTTTATTATGTATATAGTTAGATTCCACCTTCGTGATTATGAATCTGTGAGTGAATTGTTTTCTAACGGGACCCTTTTATTTATATTAGGTCTTAAAGTTTTTGCATAAATTAGGGCGTGGTCACTTTGATGGACAAGTACGTGCCTCACTGTCAGCTAACAGCAATTTGTCCACTCTGCTAGGCTACAACGTTAGTTAGTTGTAGTTACTGTACTTGACCCTTTAGCCATGTTCGTGGTGATTGTGCCTTTTAGGGAATATTGTTACAAATACCAGACAATTAAAATGTCGTGCTGTGCGCTTGAATGTACTAACAGACCTTCCAAGAAGTCTACTCTCAGCTTTTTTCGGTGAGTAAAATGATAATATTATACATGTTAATCCCGTTAGCAGGTGTTTGTGTGCTTGTTAGCTTAGCTTGTTATGTAGCTTATTATGTAGCTTATTAGCCAGCTAAGGACGTAACCCTTTATACATGTGTATATATATATACAGTTTAGTTTATGATTCAGCCTTTTATAGTATATGGCTGTGACGCCCATAATGCTAAACGGGAGCAAATGTTAAAAGGGGACCCAATTATCCCAGTGGTGGCCGCCGGAGTCCACGCCGGCCGAAGCTAACGGAGCCGCAGGGGGCTAGCTCGCTAGCGCGTCCCGGCGGCTCCGTTAGCTTCGGCCGGCGGCGGAGTCCGGCATTATAACTGGAGATCAAGGAATGCAGCGAAACGCAGACTTGGTTCGCCTGCAGCCCGCTGTAGTATTAGCTAAATAAATTATGTTGAACAAGGCTTATTAAGCTGAACATCGCCACAATTGTTCTGCTATGTATCAGTACTTATTTTATTTTATTAACGTGTGAATGACAAGCATTACAAATAACAACAAATAGCTCATTATCTTGCAGATTGTCTCGTTTGATTATGAATGTAACGTTTATATAGTGGAACTACACTGTTTTATCAAAACCAAAGTGCCACGCAGTAACTTGGTATGCATGTATTTCAGCAGGAAATGTGCAACCTAGATGACATTTACCAACACAGACTATATAGAAATATTTGTAAAAGTTGTTCATGCGTTATTAAGTGAATATGGCATTAACCCTCCTGTTGTCTTCGGGTCAAATCTGACCGATTTACTACTTTCATCAATCATAACTTTTTTGTTTTACATTCGATTGCATTAAGGATTTATGATATCCTTCACAGTAGACATTTGAACATATAAAATTGCTGATTGACCTTGTCGTGGTGAGTGGGCTTTAAACTAAGACGGGTCATACTGAATAGTCTGTGCACACATTTTTAACATGTGATCTTTCTTTCATGTAGGACGCTGAGGGAAGTTGCAACGCCTCGGCCAATGTGATGTCTTCCCCACGTGAAAGAGATTGAAGGCATAATTTATAACTTGAGACAATTTTCCAAATGTTATGACTTTTATTGGCTTAGGTAGTAATGGATTACATCCAACACGAATCAAGATCGTATAGAAAAAAAGGAAAGTGTAATCCTTAGTTACATAGGAAAAGATGTAATCGGATTAGTTTGACTTTTTTTAATAATAGGGAAACTCAGGATTACAATCTTATTCAAAACCTGAAAAGAAAAGAGTGTTTGTTGTAAAATGATCAGATGTTCTCTCTTCTCTGGAAGCGGTACTGTTCTGTAGGCTAATACTTTAATTGTGAATCTATACACCTACTGCCTGAGTCAGCTTTATGTATATTATACATTTAAGTAAAAAAATCATATTAATATTTCTTCTCTCCTGTGTTTATTTGCATTGCATTTGATATTGAGGTAATCCAAAAGAAAAATAAAGTTATCAGGTTACATTACTTTTATATCTTGATACTCACATTAAGTTACTGGTTGCGTTTTTGGCAAGTAGCCCTCCCAACCCTGTACATAAGTTATATCATTTTAATTACTGATACAGTTGTTGCACATCTTTAATTTCTTTTCTAGTGTACTTAAGTCGTACATTTTCAATGTGAAATAGATCGGATTAAATATAGAGTAAAAGCACAATCTTAAATTATACATTTATAATTTTCCTATGCTTATTGTTAATGTAGTGGTGTTATAAACAAAATGTTGTCGTAAAGGAAATTAAGATGTTTTTTATTTGTTGACAAAAGATTTAAAGTTGATGCTCACAACATGTGGGAACATTTATTGAGAAAAATGTTTCTATTGTAAAACAAATAATTATCTGCATACTGAACAATTTAGAAACTCTCTAAAAGGTATTATTTTCTGTGATGTTACGACCCTGTAGGGATTGTGGGTATTGCATTTCATAATTACATTCTATGGTATGCTTATGACATATTTGATGCCAAAATACATGGGATTAGGAGAGACCTTCTTGGTGTTTGCATTGTCACTGATAAATGACAAGGTAGTATTCGTTGTCAAGATTTTGTGTTTTTAAACTTGGGACTCTTTTCAGACTGCTACGGCTTGGGAAAAGATTTGAGCCTTAATGTGTAATGTTTTCTGTATTGTATGGTTAGCTTATCCTTTCATTTGATAGTCAGATTTGGATGTGATAGCTAACATTTTCAGTAAGCAGTAGACAAAAGAAGTGAAAATATGAATGTGATTTATTTTAAATATTTACAGAATTATTTTAACAAATAAAATAACAAAAAACATAATAACAAATTTAAAAAAAAAGTTTGACAGACAGCCATGCCCAGCATGGGCCTGGAGAGCTACAGAGTCCATTGGGGGGAAGAGGGGGGGGTGGGATGTGGGGAAGAGGAAGAGCAGCCATGTTAACAGTGTTATGGCTACAGATGTAATATCTAACTCAACATTAGCCATGACAGTCTGGGCTTAGCAAGGGCCTTAGAAAACATACTCTAAAGGCCAAATCCAAAAACAGTGATACTGACATTTTAGCAGTTCACAGTCTTTGGAGATGGTCTTTCAGGCAATTGGCTAGTGACTTTAAAAAAATATCATTTCCCCTAAGGGTGAAATGAACTCTATCTCGCAAAAAAAGCCCAGGACTGTCATGTCTAATGTTGGAGTGGTCAACAATGGCACCATTTAGGCTATGAACAAAAGTAGCCATAACACTGTTAACAAACTTCCGGGCCTTGTCAATTTTGACAGGATTTGCACCAGCCCTCCATCTGGTTGATCTGGGAGAGCATGATCTTCATGCCAGGGTGCCGATGGTGAAGCTGGTGCAGGTCCTCCTTCATCTGATTCACCAAGTGAACACTGGGCACATCCCCCAAGTCGTTGCCGCCACAGTGCATGAGGAGGACATCCGGGGCTGCTCTTCCTCGCAGGGAGTTGGAAAAGAAGGGGAGGAGACCTCTCCAGCGCAGTCCACCCCAACCTAACCAGCAGGCGCGAAGGTCGAGGCCAAGGTTGCTGCCGATGGTCTCTGTAGCTCTCTGGGCTCCACGCCGGACATAGCTGTCTCCGATTATCCATACAGTCACTATGGGAGGAAAATAAATGAGAGTAACAAATGCTTCAGATAATGAGGAATATCAAATTAAGTATAAAGGGTTGCTCATTTTGTTCCTTTGACAATAACATACAACATAACATATGAAATCACACCTGACGTATATATATATATATATGTATATATATATAGTATGTTTGTGTGTAATGTCAACCATCTGAAGTCATGTACAGATGGAGCCTCTTATTTTGGACCCCAGCATACAGCTTCCTGCCGACTGCCAGCCAGTTGCCAGCCAGTTGCCTGCCAAAGACCAGTATTCAGGAATGTTAGGCCCTCCCACTATTCTCCAATTTCAGGGTTTAACCAGGAGATGGCGCTATATATTAAATAACTAAGACTTAGTTTTTCACAATAGAAAATGCAGATATTATATAAAAAACTAAAGTTAAAATCTTGTTTTTAATGCCCCAAGAGCAATAACATCTTGTCACAAGCTTTTTGGAAGAAAAAGACTGACTCAAGAGACCTGTAGTTGACTAATTACAGGCCTCAATAAAGTTCTGCCATTGGTTGTGAAAAACAACGGTGGACATAGTGGAAAGTGAAATTGACATTGTCGAATTTAATAAAAATACAAAATAATGTATCGGTGTACGTGTTTTACTATGTGATCTGCACTTATCAAACATCTAATTAAGGCGAGACACCCCAGGTGAATAGGGTATTTTTAACTTAAAGATATCAGCTAAATATTTCTCCAGTTAATTACTTACAATAAGGCAATTGTTTTTTGTATTACAAGTTTTCTGAAATAGCATGTTTAAATATCCAAATGAACCATTATCTCATGAAATATGCGCATATTTTAACACATTTCAGGAACCGAAATCTGAACTTTGGATAAAGCCAGGATCAAAATTATTGTTTCATTTTGTAGTCATATTAGTATCTAAGGCTTTTACAGAAGGGATTTTGGATATCTCTTTGTATCACTCCATAAATCAGAAAATACTGTCAACAGCCCTAAAATATCAATTTTCACCATGTTTTTAGGTATAAAATGTTATATAATTCAGGCTATGAATTATATATGACCAAACCCTTCTGTAAAAGCCTTCATAATATTGATAGGAATATAACTGGAAGGTTTGGTGTATGTAACTGCTGAGTGATTCTACAATTTAGGGTACATTCCATGTCCATTGATGTCCATTGATGATAATTATAATTATTCTAACTATTTTCTTCAAAAATATCATATTTTGCCTATTATTGGAAAGCATGTTATAATATCACACAAACATTATGTGCATCCTATGCTTTATTTAGCTTGAAATGTGTCATGATGTTCTTAAATTGTCAGTTTTTGCTATGTCCGTTTTTCAGTTGAGGGTGTCTTGGATTCAAAATAATGAATAAAAACCATTAAAGTAAATTTAAAAAATGATTCATTTATTTCAAAAGTCTAAATACTAAAGAATAATAACATATTTTTAATTGATTTCCCCCTTTAAATAATTTAAATATCTTAATATATGAATGTCCGCAAAAGTTCTGTCAACTATGTTACTAACAGAACTTCCCCCTTTAACTCAAAAATTGTTTGTCCCAATACCATGTCACCAGCATCACATGATGCCATGTTCCTCTTTGGCAGACATTTTGAACACACTGTGGTGATTGTCCTCTACATTTTTACAATATTTTATGTATAATAGCACATGGTCAATTAATATACTCATTGACAATCAACAATGTTACGTACATTGTTATGGTTTACAATTGTTTAATGATTTTAATTCAATTATATGTGCAAATGTGATGTTAACCTGTTCAAGAAAATGACATGTGGTCATCCAGGCAAGGCCTACCATTGAAATGATGGGTCAAAATAGGGAAATTGTCAACTAGGTTACCTGTCAACTAAGTTACCCAGTACTGTAATAACTGTAGTAACTTAGTTGACAGGTAACCTAGTTGACAATTTGTACGACATGTAGACGTCATTACACATCATTATCAATGGAATTTTGCACTTCTGCCTTGAAATTAACATAGTGCTGATGGTTAATAATGTGTCCAGTCAACTATGTTATTTGCCTCAAATGTTTGACTTTCATTGTCAACTATGTTGCACCTCATTTTTTCAAATTTAAAATATCTAAAATAGTGCTTCTGATATCCTTTATAGTATAATGTATATCTACACAGGTTGGAGTTTTACATGACATCTCTTAAAACTATCAAAATGACCTGTATGGTAGTTTTATAATACAAAATATCCCTAAACTTAATGACAGTGCTGAACATATCACATGAAAAAACAAAACTTTAATACAATTATTTTTTAAACTTTAAAAAATCTTTGGATATATGGTAGAATAGACTCAAGAGCCTTTCAAATTTGATTTTACTTGAAGTGCAGGACTTAATCAAATGATTGTAATGACATCAAGTTTGTCCGTAACATAGTTGACAAACTGAGTAGTGAAAACATCCTTTCCCTTAAAATAAAAAAATATATAAAAATGTTTAAGCTTTGCAACTAGTGGATATGTTACACTGAGGAATATACTAACTTGAACCACTGATTGTTCTATCTATACATTTTATTTGGCATTAGTAAATAATTATGCACATTTACAGATATTTTACATGATATGAGTGATAACACGTGTTATAAGGGCTATTTCGCACAATAGGTGTGCCTTGAGATTTTTACTTGTCCTTTGGTGTGCCTTGGGCACAAAAAGTTTGGGAACCACTGCTGTAGAGAAATGTAAACGTTCACCATCCCCCACCCGCCTACTGTATGTTGCTTTTTGACATGTAAATGGGTAACTACCCCCCTCTGAGTGAATACCTGTTGTACCTGTCCGGGGCTAAGCCCATAGGACGATGCTCTGATGTCATCACCCTCGCACATTGGTCATATGTTTACAAAAAACGATGTTAACACTTTCTCGTTCTTAATATATGCTATATTTAGGGTCGATATGTGTTGAATTTACTTTAAAATAGCAGATCACTGTGATTCACTTCTCCGCGGCTCCTCCGTGCAGAGAGGCCCACCCCCCGTTGACAATTCACGAGCGTCTAACTCTCTCCCCCCTGTGAAGAGATATCACAGGGGGGGATTGGGACACACACATTCCGATGGCCAATTCGTTTTAAACAAAGAGTGGGGTGGGGGCTGGTGAACGGTATGGTCAATGTTTGTAAACACTGTGACATTTTGACTTTATTTGATCATTTCAGTTAAAAACTAACGTTCATATTTCATATTACTGTTTTGCCTGGCTGGACCTGTAATTTACAGGAAAGGAGTGCACGCTACTAAAGAGACACGCTACCATGGAAACCAAACAATGGTGTTGCTGTATTGAAGTCCGAGTGGAAACAGTCATATTTGGAGCGTTATGTTAGAATGAAACAGCGAGGTCGTGACTCACAAAAAAAAAGTGTTACTTCACTAACTGTAAGCTTGTCACTCAGAGTAACCTACAGTTAACTTAACTGTTGGAAAAGAAAGATCAGAGTTAGGAGTGTGAACACACAGCTGAGAGCTGCCGTTTCATTCTGACTGTTTAAAAAACGGTAACAACGGACTATTTTTCTTAGCGGATGCATGTAAATTTAAATCAATACATAGAACTATGTTTTAAATCAATAAAAATATTTTCTAAATCCATAAAAGCATTTTAATTAATATTGGGAGTCATGTCGTTACTTTGTTGAGAATGTGGCCATGTAATAAGCGGGATAATTTGCAGCGACTTGGTCATTATGGGGAAAAATAACACCCAGGGATCAAGATCCCTCCGCGACGCGGAGGGATCAGTAATTTTTAGTGAATTACTGAGTTTAGGCACGTTAATAACATTTTAATGAAGTTGAATACAGTATATTCATATTTGTCAGTGATTTCATGTCAATTCGGCGAACATAAACGATTAAATTAGGATTAAAAATCGAGAGCCGGCTGCTGTTCGTTACGGTAACCCAACTAGGACACTTGACACAGTGGCTTTTGGCAAAGCACACAAAGAAAACAAAAAAAACCGAGAGAGATGAGTTATTGTTATTACAACGTGACTTCACTATTATTTAACAACTATTTTTATTGGGTTCTTTTATTTGGGGTTAAGTACATTGTCAGAATAAGTGAGAAATGGATTTAACTTCTGTTAGACAGCTATCATACTGAATAAATATTTATGCAAAAATGTATAGCATTAATAATGTATATCTAATTACATTTAAAAATGTATGGCATTAATAATGTATATCTAATTACATTAACTGTGAATGTCTTTAATTTTATTTAAAATGAAATAAAATTACATAAAACATTTTCCATAAAAAAGTTGATTCAAGAACAAATCAGTACTTTTCTTATATGACTATTATTGCTAAATTTGAAAGGTCTTTACCAGCTTTGGAATTATATATATATATATATATATATATATATATATATATATATATAGCACCTTCTGCCATCCCATCTCTACTGACATATGGATCTTAACAAAGATCCGCTATACATTAGTACCAGATATACTGTACACGGACATTTTAGTGAACCAGACCAGCTGTTTCCGCCGGGTCTTCGCTTCCCGGGCATCACGTTGTTTACAAGTGTGTTCAGATGCTAAATGACAAGTGCAAGTGACAATTGTTGTCGTCTTCTCTGTGAACGTTTTTTTCTCCGTTATTTTGCCATTTTCAGATTTAAATTTCGAGCGGAAAGCTAACCAGGAAGTAATAATTACTTAAGCGGAGAACGGAGAAAGTAAACGTTACAGCAGGCATAACAACAGCCGGTGTTTATATTATTATAATATATATCATTTGTTTTAAAGCTCAATATATAGTTCTATCCGTGACATATGGATCTTAACAAAGATCCGCTATACATTAGTACCAGATATACTGTACACGGACATTTTAGTGAACCAGACCAGCTGTTTCCGCCGGGTCTTCGCTTCCCGGGCATCACGTTGTTTACAAGTGTGTTCAGATGCTAAATAAAAGTTTAGCTTGTACTTTTGATACCCCGCCTCTCGGCACCACAACATCCAGTTTACTGTATTTCACATGAGCGATGTCGAACATTGAAAAGTCCTTATAAAATCTCTGTTATTAGATCAGTACTTTTCTTATATGACTATTATTGACTTGAACACTGAGAATGTATTTATTAACTTCAGACATTTGAAATATTTGAAATCAGATGAAAACAAACTGTAACGGACCCTGCCGTGTTATCTATGATTACTATGCCTTACTGTACATTCATAATTTCAGCCGGAGGTAGGTGGTAGGCGTTGCGGAGGAGCAGATTGCGAGTGAGGTGCCTGTTCTAAACGAACTATTCCAGCTGTTATAAAGCATTAAATAAAAAGTAAGCAAGGAATACAGAATGTTTCGTTACGTAACTTTGTTGAGAATGTGGCCATGTACATGTAATACATGGGATCATTTGCAGCGACTTGGTCATTGTGGGGAAAAATAACACCCATCCTGATCGTTTCAATGAAGTTGAATACAGAATATTCATATTTGTCAGTGATTTAATGTCAATTCGGCGAACATAAACATCAATGATGATGATTAAATTAGGATTAAAAATCGGGAGAGCCGGCTCGTTCGTTTTTTCCGACTAAACAACATCTATTATTTAGAAGTTGATTTCACATGACTCCAGTGTGGAACCCCACTGCACCCCCTGGTGGATCAATGATCCATTGCAGCTGGCTTCACAATAATTAAATGTATTTATCATGGGGGCGGTATCAAGTCTGACTGGGGGCCGGCCGGCCATCACGGAACGTGCATGAACCGATCATGACCCTCGCACTTTAAACTGTCCAAAATAAGACGCTTCATCTGTAAAGTAAGCCAGGACCATCAACTTACAGGTTGTGGAGGAGGTTGCCATCTTTTTTTCTTAATGCTGAAAGAAATAAAAATGGTTTAATCAATATAAAAGCGCCTTTCTTTTTCTACAGTCATATTTAATTTATACTCTCACAGCGCTGTTGAAACAGTAACGTTGGATTAAATGTATATACAATTGATGGTCAAAAAGTATAAATATGCAAATTTTGCATTTGTTAGCCCATGCATATTACACTGTTTATATTTGAATCATGGACAAGCGCATCAAAAGGACAAGTTTTGTAAAGTTACAGGGGATCTTACCTTCAGAACGCCGGGAACGAGGAGCAGTGACCGGAAGCTGGGTTGTTAGCTTAATACTGTGAGCATGTTAGCTTAGCTTCTTAGCCTGAGCTAGGTCTGGAACTTCACGGCCGTTGGCAGAAGGTCCCGCCCTGTCCCGCCTCGTCTCCGCCACGGCTCCGCCTCTTTGCCCTTATTTGGATCAGGATGTAGCAGGCGGGAGTTAGACTCTGACGCCACTGTCGAGCCGTTAGTGGCCGACTCCGCCTACTAAGGGCTTCTCGGCAACTCTGCAGAATCCTATGGGTGACGTCACGGACCCTACGTCCATTTATATATACAGTCTATGGCAGCAACGCGTATCTCAGACCATTTACCGGTTCTGTTTACAACCTCCATCCCTTCCGCAGGAGTCGAATCACGTGCCCCGGCGCGTCGTCTGCGTTCGATTAACCCCTTGACTGCCTCACAGTTCTCTGATGTTTTTAATGCTTCTCCGATCTGTAAATTAGATGTGAACTGTGCTTTTAATGCTGATGAGCTTATCTCCATGTTTGATTCGACATGCACACTAATACTGGATTCTGTTGCTCCTTTTACGCTTAGACGCACCAAAGTTCTATCAGAGCCGTGGCTCAATGACTGTACTCGTGCTCTCAGACGCGCTTGCAGGCGTGCAGAGAGAAAATGGAAAAAGGATAAACTCCATGTCTCCCTAGAAATCCTTCGTGCTTGCCTTTCCGACTACCAGACGGCAGTCAAAGCAGCCAAAACAGAGCACATTTCTCTGTTAATCTCCAAAAACAGCCATAAACCCCAGGTTCTTTTTAATGTCCTCAACTCTATCATTAATCCCTGTGATGTTTCTTTTATTGTCCCATCGACTACTCTCTGTGATAAGTTTCTTACATTTTTTATTGAAAAGGTATCTGCTCTTAGGCTAGCCCACACTAGTGCTACCCCAGATCCTGCTCCTTTTGTGTGCCCTGCTGTCCTCGACCACTTTGAGCCTGTATCCCTCTCTGCTCTCTCGGATGTAGTCAAGCACCTGCGGCCGACAAACTGCACCTCAGACAGCATTCCCTCTCGCCTTTTCAGAGATGTTTTTGATTCAGTTGGAGCAAGTATTTTATTACTTTTAAACACCTCTCTTACCTCAGGATGTGTCCCAGCTGCCTTCAAACATGCCGTGGGTAAGCCACTCCTTAAAAAGAAAAATCTCGACCCCTCCATTCACGCACATTTTAGGCCCATCTCCCAGCTACCTTTTTTATCAAAAGCCCTGGAGCGAGTAGTCTACGCCCAGCTGCAGTCTTTTTTAACCACGCATGGAATCCATGAAAAGTTTCAGTCTGGCTTCAAACCCATGCACAGCACTGAAACAGCCCTTTTAAGAGTTTTTAATGATCTGCTCCTAGCCGCCGACTCAGGTAGCCCAGCTGACTTGGTGCTGTTAGACCTGACAGCTGCCTTTGACACTGTGGACCATAGCATCCTGCTGTCACGGCTTGAACAGTCCGCTGGCATCACAGGCTCTGCCCTTGCATGGTTCAGGTCCTACCTGACAGACCGTAGCTTCTCGGTACAGCTAGGTGCCTTCTCCTCTGCCAAAGCCCCTCTTACCTGTGGGGTTCCCCAAGGCTCGATTCTGGGCCCCATCCTTTTTCTACTGTACATACTGCCCCTAGGTTCAATACTCACAAAACATAACATTCCCTTCCACTGCTACGGCGACGATGTACAGATCTATCTGCCTCTCAAAGCAAATGTCACACACTCACTACAGCAGTTGATGGACTGCTTAGCAGAGATAAAATCCTGGCTGAGCAAAAACTTCCTCAACCTCAACGAGAGCAAGACCGAGGTCATCTTTTTTGGACCGCAACCTCCAGCCTCTCCGGTTGATATTCTGGGCTCTATAAAAAAAAACATCCTCCCCTCGGTCATGAACCTTGGAGTGACCTTCACCAGCACTTTTAAATTCGACAAGCAGGTCAGCACCGTAGTAAAATCCTGCTTTTTTAAAATAAGACTATTGGCCAAAACCAAGTCGTATTTATCTTTTAAAGACTTAGAAAGGGTTATTAACGCCTTTGTAACCTCGAGACTGGACTATTGTAACGCTCTGTATGTGGGTATGGACCAGGCCTCAATTAAACGCTTACAGCTAGTCCAAAACGCTGCTGCACATTTGCTGACTGGCCATAAAAAGCGCGACCACATCACCCCTATTCTGGCCTCACTACACTGGCTTCCAGTTCGGTTCAGAATTGATTTTAAAATCCTTTTATTTGTTTTTAAAGCACTAAATGGGCTGGCTCCGGCCTATATCGCTGAACTGCTCCAGCGCTACACCCCAGCCAGAGCTTTAAGGTCTGCTGACCAGCTGCTGCTGGTAGTGCCCAAGACCAGGCTCAAAACCCGAGGGCACCGAGCCTTCGCAGCAGCTGGCCCTAGGCTCTGGAACACTCTGCCCCTCCATGTGAGGTCGGCCCAGATCCTAGGGGTTTTTAAATCAAAACTAAAAACACACTTCTTCTCTCTGGCTTTCTAGTTAGAGCGGAGCACGACTCCTGACTTTTCCGTGTGTTTTATTTTTATTTTGTTTTTTAAGATATATCTGTTGTAATTTATTGTCGTTTATTGTGATTTGTAGTAATGTGTTTTTATTACATGTACAGCACTTTGGCTCGACCAAAAATCGCTTTTAAATGTGCTATATAAATAAAACCTGATTTGATTTGATTTGATTTGATGGAGGGAGGTGGCAGAGACAGTGGTATGTTTTCGCCTGTTTGGGGAGTTTATATCCAGTTTACTTCGGGCTTTTTTGCTTCGTATGTCGGGGGCGGGAGATTCATGTGATTGGTTGTTGGTGCCTTCCTCGCAAAAAATCCCCAAGCTTCAGATACACCCACCTCCAAGATTTTTTTAACACTGCTGTGTGGACGGGCCGTAAGAAAGTGGATCACATCACTCCAGTTCTGAAGTCTTTACACTGGTTCCTCACTGACACTATGAAAGTGGATCACATCACTCCTGTTCTGAAGTCTTTACACTGGTTCCTCACTGACACTAAGAAAGTGGATCAGTCCTGTTCTGAAGTCTTTACACTGGTTCCTCACTGACACTAAGAAAGTGGATCACATCACTCCTGTTCTGAAGTCTTTACACTGGTTCCTCACTGACACTAAGAAAGTGGATCACATCAGTACTGTTCTGAAGTCTTTACACTGGTTCCTCACTGACACTAAGAAAGTGGATCACATCACTCCAGTTCTGAAGTCTTTACACTGGTTCCTCACTGACACTAAGAAAGTGAATCACATCACTCCAGTTCTGAAGTCTTTACACTGGTTCCTCACTGACACTAAGAAAGTGGATCACTCCTGTTCTGAAGTCTTTACACTGGTTCCTCACTGACACTAAGAAAGTGGATCACTCCTGTTCTGAAGTCTTTACACTGGTTCCTCACTAACACTAAGAAAGTGGATCACATCAATCCAGTTCTAAAGTCTTTACACTGGCTTCCTGGGTGTCAAAGAACTGATTTCAAAATACTGCTGCTGGTTTATAAAGCTTTGAATGGTTTAGGCCCAAAATACATTTCTGATCTCCTGCTAAATGATGAACCATCCAGATCTCTCAGGTCTTCAGGGACTGGTCAGCTTTCTGTCCCCAGAGTCAGAACTAAACCTGGAGAAGCAGCGTTCAGTTATTATGCTCCAAATATCTGGAACAAACTCTCAGAAACCTGACGGTCCGCTGCAACTCTGACTACTTTTAAATCCAGGCTGAAGACTTTTCTCTTTGCCGCTGCTTTTAATTGAACTATTCACATCTTAAACTGCACTGTAACTTTTATTATCTTTGCTTTTTAATGAATGTTTTTAAATGCCTTTGTCTGAATGTCTTTCATTTTTGTAAAGCACCTTGAATTGCCTTGTGTTGAAAGGTGCTATATAAATAAACTTGCCTTGCCTTGCCTGGTGTGCTCCATTTTTAACGCATGTTTTTAGCACTATCTTATTTATTTTAATCGTGTTTATATTTATTTCTTATATGTTTTTATTACTTATTACATGTTTTATCCCTTTAATGTATATATGTGCATGTATTTACCTTTTTATTGTAATCAAAGCCACTTGAGGAGGGATCCTTTTATTTATTTTATTTATTTATTACCTGGAGGCCAGCAGAACCCCCCGCAGAGAGAAACTCTTCACCGACCTGCCACCTTTTGAAATAAACAGAGCAACTCAAACAGCTGTCCTTTGAAGAACCTTTTAAACTTACCCGACCTCGATCTTAGTGGTTTTTATTTCTCAGTGACATCTAGTTCATTTTTATACTATTTTAACCAGTCTTTTACCACAGTCTTGTTTAAATAGAGCTTTGACAACGCTTTTAAAGGGTTTTTACAAGGTCTTTGTAGGGCTTTTAGATCGTTATGGAGTTTTTTAATGTTTTTTTTAAACACCCTAAGCTACCGAGAGCCAGTGCACCACGCTCTTCCCTAACCTAACCCTAACCCTAACCAAGTCTTCACACTAACATTAATGATTCCCCTCATGGGGACCTCCATTATGTCCCCATAAGGGAGGCGAGTCCCCACACGTGACTGTGTAAACAGATTTAGGTCCCCACAAGGATAGTAATGCTAGGCCACACAAACACACACACACACACACACACACACACACACACACACACAAACACACACACACACACACACACACACAAAAACACACACACACAGGTGGAGGTTTCAGTATTTGCTTTTATTGTTTGCTGAACAACATGTTTGTTGACACTCGGATGTTTGTTCGATCTTCTTTCGTCCTACATCGGTAGCGGTAGATCGACCGCCATTTCTAGAGAGGATTTCTTATGACAGAAATCTGTGAGGAAACAAAATCAGTGAGTCAGCAGAGGACTCTTTAAAGTAGAGACACTACATACTGATATACACCTGAACATCAGCAGGAGAGGACACTTTAAAGTAGAGACACTACATACTGATATACACCTGAACATCAGCAGGAGAGGACTCTTTAAAGTAGAGACACTACATACTGATATACACCTGAACATCAGCAGGAGAGGACTCTTTAAAGTAGAGACACTACATACTGATATACACCTGAACATAAGCAGGAGAGGACTCTTTAAAGTAGAGACACTACATACTGTTATACACCTGAACATCAGCAGGAGAGGACTCTTTAAAGTAGAGACACTACA